ATCGCTTTTGCCTCCAGCGTCCACGAAACGTCCCCGTACCCGACCGTGGCCACGTACCCCAAGCTCGTGCATGGGGTAACCGCCAAGATTCAAATCACCGACTTGAAGCAGTCCCTGGAGAGCTTTGTGAACAAGTATGCGAACCGTCTTTTCAACTCAACCGAAGGCGGCCAGTCGTGGCACTGGATCTACGACCAAGCGGTCGAGTTGGCTTCCACCGAGGTGAACAACACTAACGTCAAAGTCACCGTGCGACCTGTCACTCACGAGTGGGGGCAGTATTCAGTGATTGCCCGCGTCGAGCCTACTACTATTGTCAAGGACGACATTGTCATTTTGAGTGCGCACCTAGACACGATTAACGATGTAGACTGGAATGACACTGTGAAGCGCTACATCGCCCCTGGGGCCGACGACGACGGATCGGGAACCGTGACCATCTTGAAGACGCTCAAGTACTTGCTGACGGCCCCCATTCGGCCCGTGGAGTTTCACTGGTACTCCGCCGAAGAATTTGGCCTGCAAGGAACCAAGGCAGTGGCAGAGGAGTATGCGAACGCCAGCACAGCCGTGTACGCCTTGATGCAGTTGGACATGACGGGGTACGTCCGTCCTGGTACGACCCCCGTCATAAATTTGATCTCCAACTACATCAACGAGAACCTCAACAATTTCTTGGAGACTCGTCGCGACCTACGTGGGCCTCCGCGTGAACCACTCAGCGTGCGGCTACAACTGCTCGGATCATTACTCGTGGAACATATCGGGGTACCCCTCGTCGTTTCCGTTTGAAACCGAGTTGATTGACTTGAACCCGAACTACCACTCCCAAAACGACACGGTCGACACCATCATTTTTCAACATGGTCGATTTCACCAAGCTCGCGATTGCGTACGTTGTCGAGCTGACTCAGGACAGCGCCACGTCATGCTAATCACCTCGTTGTTCCATCGCAGTACCGTACACATGGGCTACAGATAGATAGGCCTCTGCAAAGTAAGGTAAAAGTTAAATGGAGTTTAAAATAATTTTACTTTTACCTTTACCCTTACCTTACCTCGTACGCACGATTTACATGCAATGCCCTCCTGACGCTCCAACCAACCAATATTTGTTTCTGTAACACACTGGACGAGCACGGCCCATGCGCATGGGGATACACCAACAGAGAGGACTGGTATATCGTCACCAACGGGTATACTGCAGTCCTCGACCAACCCGAACGAACGCGTCTCAGTGTCAGCACGGAGATTACTGGCCGGATGATGTTGGGTGGCGGTGAGCTGTTTGTTGTGGAATTGGTGGTTCGGTTTTGTAGTTTTCGCGCCAACAAGGATGCTTTCAAGTGAAAGCTTCAGAAACAACCGCAATTGCTCTTCGTCCAGTGTAACGTAAACAATCAATTTAATGCGCATCGGAGGAAGGCGGCTGGGGAGAACTTTCAAAGCTCCACGCTCGTTCAACATGTTTTACCTCTGAAGCTTGGAGATTGTAGCTGGATTAATGGGGAACAACCTCATACCAATTATATTGGGTATCGGTTCATTTCCAATGACTAAATCCACAAAACCCAAGCAAGTTTAATCCAATTTTGACAATAACTTAACGACGCACATTTTTATCTTGAATATTGTATACCTATTTGCATATAAGTTTTGTGGTTAGGTTATCAAATTATAGCAGGAAGCAAATCTATTTCAGGTTATGCATTCACAAGTGTTCCATATTCCATCATTCCATTTTGAGTTGGGAATCCAAAGTGGTGCTTTCGGAGGATACATTGAGGTACAATACTGTTGAATAGGCCGGGGGGTGGGGACAGGGGGTAGAACACGCACACAAAGGTAGAGCTCAGTTCGAGGTAAAACCATGAATGAAAGCCAAGGCTACATCATTCCAAACCCCTCACATCCTTGCCCAGCAGCACACACAACCACACAAAACATAAGCTATGAAGACCTGGCATAAGCCTTGGTCTTCATATCGCATAACACTGCCTCAATGTTCCTACCACCATACAATTGTGACGGAGCTGGAGCATGAGCTTGTACTACTATACCACATCGTGGTATTACCATCGTAAAGGTATATTATTCGACGGGCCGACTACCTTCGAATTTGACCGTCCTGCCTTTTATTCTACAGGACCTTTCCCCAAAGGTCGTCA